AGACTAATTCTTGCGTCTCGTATCCCAAACGCGGCCCCGATGCCACGAGCGGACCAGGAAAGACAGGGACTGCGCTGCCTGCTCGGACAATCAAGCCAGAAGGCTTTGATCTGCTCAGTTCCGTTTTGTTCAAGGTTTGGGTACAGGATGTTAATTAAGTCTAATTAAGTTGTCCACCCACATGGCGTTTTGGTTTCTGGGATTCAGACACCTCTCTGTAGGGGAGGACCAATAGCTTTTGTGACTTCCCAGGCCTCAGAACGCAGTCACCTCTTAGCCCTTACAAACCAAATATTCTTGTGAAGGCTTCAAAACAGCCCATTGGAACCCTGATCCGAACTTGACAAGACATCTTCTTCAAACCTTCAGATTCACGGATGACATAGCATCCACTCATGCTAGAGCCGCTAGGGTTCAGACTTGCCTCCGTGAGGCTTGAGGTCCTAGGGGCTGTACTAGACATCTTCTTCAAAAGCAGTCCCTACAACACCCCCAGCGGATGCGGCCTTCTATGTCTTCCTGCTCCTCTGAGCTTCCCTCGTCACTCTCGGCCGCCTGGGCATGAAATCATTTTGAGGGAGTCGCAGGGTTATGTGAAGGTGTCATATATGGCTTCGTGAAACTTCGGAAGGGGCCTTATTCAGCATAGTGGTCCTAGCATGTAGGGTTGTATGTTAGGTTCCGTGCTTTGTGAATCTTCCATGTGTCTAGGTGCATGGACAAACGTATGACTGTGCCTCTGCATGTGCAGATATATGTATGAAATGGCATGCATATACATACTACATATATACACATATACACACATGTCCAACAATCAACCTATTTATGTGACACGGGAGAAAAGCGGCACAATAACCTCTGTGAAGAGAAATCGAAACACATGGGCGACGAAAGGCACATCAAATGGAGCATTACCGAAGATCTATCGGATTTTGTGCATGTGTTGCCTTGGTCAGGCCAGTCTGCCAGCTAATTCCAGCCCTTTTTTGCAACAGGCTTCGCACTTCGCCTGGAGTCGGCCGCCGCTGAAGCCCAGCAGCTTTATTGCTGGACAAGACGCCCCACACACACTCACACCATCAAGTTCAGAAGCCAGCGTTGAAATGGCCGGAATTAGCCCTAAATGCTAAACCCCTATGAGGTTTGCCAGCTCTCTATAGAACCCCATAAAACCCAATCCAAAAAACTCGAAGAATGCAGCTCCCAGGTGACCCACCTCCTCCAGCAGAGCAGGTCGGGGATCTGCCGGATCGCCGTCTTCGGCGGCATCCTGGAAAAGGACCTCCAAGAACTTCTCTCTCTCTCTCTCTCTCTCTGTCACGGTTTACCTGGACCCGAAAGAACCTACGTTTTTTGGGATCCTTAGTGTGATTTCCTTGTAGAAGTCCTTTACAGGTCTAGGTTATTCAGGGTCCAGGTAGCGCTGGGGGTTACATTCTAGGCCCTTCCCCTCGGTTTTGATCACAAAGATCATCGCAAAACGCGCCTTCCCCTCCGTAGAGAGGGGTTTACTGCCTTATTTGGCTTAGCACCGAATCCCGGTCGCCTAATGTTCGTATTGTGTGGCCCTACTGGTAAGAAGGGCTGCCTGCCCAAACAAGGAGCACCTCGTCTAACTCATGGAAACTTCGACAGAAGCTTAAACGCAGTCTCGCCAGGGTGTCGGAGGGACATGCATACTGCGATGCTGCCACAAGGCTTAACCGCTCAAGCTGTTCATGTGCCGCGGTGCCTGCTTATCGTCACAAGAATGTGTGCTTCCGGCTTGATTGCTAGACCCTTGAGGTCTAGAGGTTAGTGGTTCCCGCCGTCGTTGCATGAGCATGAAGTTGCCCAGCATAAGGGGACGTAGAACAAAGCCCTAGGGGTATACTACAGCAAAGAACACCATGAGTACCATAATTCCGACCCCTATCTATCTATCGATCTATCTGTCTATCTATCTATCCATCTACCTATCTATCTATATACATACATGTCTGTTTACTAAATACCTGGGCCAACAAGCGTCGCTGGTGCCTCCTCCACACCGGATTCTTGGCTCGATGGAAACCTGCTACAGAAATGGCACAGGACTGTTGAATCGAGGAGGGGGGACCCTGACACCCTATACACCCTAAACACCAGGATCCTTTCTTACAAATAGCTATATAAAGCAACGACTGCTCCCCTAATTTGTATGATCTTATTTGCACATGTAGCGCACTGCCTAACCACAACTTGAAGCGTTCTGCTCTTTGGTGTGCAACTGTCGACCAAAAGCACAGGATCTCAGCAAAGAGAACTCGCGTTAGCCTGCCCCTAGAGTCTCTATAAACCCTACCCTGGAAACTCTGAACCCTAAGCCCGAAGAGCCTAAACCTTGAAACCCCAAAGCCATAATCCTAAGGCATAGAACCCTAAACCCGACACCCTACGGCCACAGCCGATGCCGAAGACACCACTTGATATAGGGGCCTTATCAATCCTGATAGGGCTTTGGCGGTTATATTATGAATATGATCGCTCTAAGGAGCCCGACGGAATAGTATTGGCATTCATCTCCGATACAAATATAGTCTGTATTCATAATAAGTGACGAAGCTTATAATTAGAGCACCACTGTCAATATCCAATAAAATATTCGTCCAGTCAGAATAAGGAATCCCAGAGCAATACTGGTATTCATAGTGTAACTACAGTCTATAATCATTGAAGGAATCCCAATGTCGTATCGATAATCATTTGGGCCCCTAGATTATCATATAATCAGAATTGGGGACCCTTTTTTTCTACCCTAGACCCTGTTTACTAAACGCCTTTTTCAGCCAGCGCCTCCTCAACCCTCACCCTCTTAAGGCAAGAGCGCACAGGAAATTGCCCTAATTACCCTTTTTCAGCACGGACTGAGGTGCCGGCGCTAATTACCCCAAACCCAAAACCCTAAGCCCGTCTCGTGTTCAGGCCCTAACGCTAAACCAAGTCCTAAAAAGGCCACAACCCTCACCCCTTTTCTTATACCCGGCCCGGCCTTATCTTCGCTTGCAACCAGGCGCCGACCCGCGGCTGCTCCTGAAGGAAGGCCTCAACAAAAAGAGTCTACAGAGCCTCAGGGTTCGGGTTTAGGCTTGTTTGGGGTTGCCTGTTTTTGTTTTTGTTGGTGGATTCTGCCTGGGAAAAAGCTTTATTGGCCAGGTTTCGGGCGTTTGGGGTTAGGGCTCAAGGCTTCCAGGTTTAGGGCGATAGTACAAAACTGCAATGCAGGGCTAAGGTAAACTCGCTTCAACAAGGTTTCGGCTGAAGGCTTCAAGTTCAGGGTTGAAGGTTCAGGATTTAAGGTTTAGGCTTGAGGTTTCGGGCTGTGGCTCTAGATTCCCCGCCCTTCGCAGTCTTGGAATGCGGCTTGCATAAGGGTTTTAGAGAAGCCTTTCGTAAAGGCCCGTGCGTGAGTCGGGGTTCCCTAGCTGATAAAAACGATCAGCAATCCACACCACCGCCCCCGCCCACAGTTGCAGCTCAACAACCCGTGCCAAAGAACCAGAATATTTCAGCGAACGTGACCCAACTCTCCCATTAGGCAGGCTATACGAATCGTGCGTCCTAGATCAAACAACCCCTTGTGCTACGAAGCTGCCGTGGAAGCATTCGGGTATGCTTTTACCATCCTAGCATAAACAGTATTCCTGCCGCTTCTGATGCTGCTACATGGAGGTATCAAAGTGAATTAGCTACATCTGCTGCTGCTGGCATGAAAATCGCGGGCATTCTGCTACTACTACAAATACTACCTTACAGCGCAGTGCTTCAGCGGCAAGTCTTGGAACGTCCCACTGCCCCCAAATCCGAAACCCTCAACAATCCGAGGGTGCTCAAATCCCTGAAACCCCAGAAGCCTTGAGGCCCATGGCTCCCTGCCTTCAGCTCTGCCGGTACAGCAGCCGCCTACTCAGACCAATCGTGACAAGAAGCCACGACAAGAACACAAAGAATATGTTTATAAGGTTCAGGAAATACCTATCTCTCTCTCTCTCTCTCTGTTTATAATGTAATATGTATACATATATATATATATATATACGTAGGGAGAGAGAGACATAGATAGGGTATCGGGGTTAAATTTCAGGAGCTAAGCAACCAGCACCGAGATCACAGCTGTCATGTGGTTGCCATCGCCAGTATCGTTGTGTATTGTTGGTACAAGACTTCGGTGCAGGTTGTTTTCCCGCTAGCACTACACACTGCTTCTGAGTATATTTAACCAACGCTGTCTCGAAAGTCCTCGAGGAAACGGAACTTTGGGGATCAAGGTGCGTTGCCGGTTTCTGTGATGCAGACAGGGGAAACTTCATGGCCACCCCGGTGCCGCAGAAAAAGCCGCCGAAGCAAGATGCAAGGATGGCCCGTCGTGTCATCATCTCAACCCTCCGAAGCATCCGTCTGAATGTGAATGTGGGTTGTTCATTACGACTGCAAACCATTGGTAACCATGCGGAGCATACATGGCTTGCACTTTCTCATAGGCATCGGACCGTGCACAACTTGGCATCTCTGAAAGTCCGGCCGTGTGCGGAAAACCGTTTCAACGCTAGGCTAGAATCATAGATTAGTTGGAAACTTGTAACGAAGCCTACACCTCTAATTAAACCAAAACCTGAAACCCCAAACCACCCTAAAACCTATAGAACTTGACTTAGTCAAGACCGGCCAGAAGAAAAAACCTCCAAAGCCCTCTACCCGGCTCTACGCTCTGCGCACCGCGCAGTGCTCCAGGCCGAGGCGTTGGGCGGCCGAAGCGGCCCAGACAGGACCTTCGATGCAAGAAGGCCGAACCCAAAAGCATGATTTACAGCAGTTTCGATCTGAAGCACCGGGAAGGGCAAGGCTACCCCCCCACCCCCCTTGCATGAAACTGCAGTTTTTCGAGGTCGGGAGTCCCCAGCCTCGGGCCTTAGGCTGGAGGCTGGCTCTGAAAAGGCGTTTAGGCACCAGCTGGTCTGCCTCAAATCGGCTCAAATACATCAGGGGACGTCAGCTAGGGTGCTGTTTGAACAGCTGTTCGGACAGTAGCTCCGGAGACCGTTCGGCAAAGTCGGTGCGCGCCCATCACGGCAGCCACACTGGATTGGGCACATGGAAGCTAGTGGGCGGAACAGCTGCGGGTGGCCGTCGCACCATGAAACGCCGGTCAATATCTCTGTAGGAAGTATCTGCAGAATGGGGCAGCCATAAGTCAAGAAATCCTGAGCTATTGAACCAATCCATCCGAAAAACTGGGTGGTGGTGACGCGGTCTCCATAGTGTCCGATTATAGCACCTTCGTACCCATGCCAGAAAGACTGCCAACCAGTATGGTTGACAACATCATCCTCGCACTCGGCGGTCTGAAGCTTGGCAGTAGCTTCGGCCAGGCAGATCCCGGAACATCCCTGAGACTGCACCTTGTGCCAGGCAGAGCTTTCCGGGTCGGTACAGCCACAGGTTTCAGCACAGGTCATGCGGAGGAGCCGGGCATCTGGCGAGCTGCAGAGATCAGCCAGCTCCGCGCAGGTCGTGGCATTCGGTCGTCCCAGAGCTGTCGCAGCATTCCGCAAGAAGGTCTCGACGGTTGGCTGAAGGGCAGGGTCTTGATGCAACTGTCCAGTTTCCAGTAGAACCGTCGTTTCCATGCAGAATGGATAAGTATCGCCAAGGTTGGTCATCGTGCGAGCAACGTCTGTGTCAAAGGTTCTTCTGTCATCTGAGAAATGAATGGTCTGAGGCCAGTCTTCTTGTAGACTCGAAGGAGTTCCCTTGTAGGACATGACAGCTCGTTCGATGGGTGAAAACTCATAAGAGGCACGCACTGTAGCAATGTCCTCTGTGCGAACGCCCCAAGAGACTTGCGTCTCCGAGCTGTAAGCGACCACGAAATCTCTCTGGCCGCCACACAGCTCGTGCTTGACTGTCAGCATGGTTTCGCAAAGAGGTACTAGCAGTAACAGGTACGAAGACCAGACCGTTGCCAAGACTGCGACGAAATGTACCAAGGACTCCACCTGGCTGCGTCGGCGTGTGTAGCGAACATTGATGGGCTCGATACTTCGTATAGCTCGCTGGATCTTGATGGGCGTCATGCCCTCGAAGAGGAACTCATCCACATCCAAGATGGCGTTCAATGCAACCGCGTTCAGCATCAGCTCCTCGATAGATGTAGTCCTTGCCAGCCAGAGGATTCCGGCAACCAGGAGCACAGAGGCTAGGCCTGCTCGGATGAGGTACGTGATCATCAGTGCAAAGGCGCGACTGTAGGAGAGGCAGTGAATTGTGTTGTCCCGGAAGTCGGTCACCCTCGCCTTTGGGAGTGTTGCGGCCGCCTCCATGGAATGCCAGATCTTTCGTAACTCCTTGTAGACGCACAAACTCCAGAGTAGGATGCACAGCATGCACAAGAGAGTGCCCGGCTGCCAGAAGTTGAATGCAAATTCAGTTGCTTGCAAGCCCAAGAAGTCGTTGATTTGCCCCACAAGGGTGGCCTGCACCGTGGACAAGATCAAAGACCCATCCCCAGCACACACTCGAGACACAAGGCTCGTTCCGGCCAAGTCCAGGTGGCGAGAGTCATGAGCTATACTTGTCCGCCAATCCTTTGCACTCTGCACACTCGTCTCGAACGGCTCACCCATGAAGTATTCCGATAAGAGAATCTGCATGAACGACACCTGCATCAGCAGGTTCAGCAGCACCAGCAGCACTGCAAAAACATTGTCAAACCAACCTACATCCTCCAAGCCAAGGACCAACACGATGTTCCACGCACTTTCCTCAATGCGCACGGGCGTAGATGTGTCTTCCGTCTTCACAGTGCCGACCTTTTCGGCACTGCTGTCCGGCGATGTGTTTTTGAAGTTCGGATTCTGACACTCCGAAATGCCGAGCTGCTTTTCGACGGTCCCCAAGCGCGTCGTGATGCTCTGGATCTCGAATTCGAAAAGCTGACGAAGTTGCCGCAGTCCTTCTTCCACGCCTTGAAGGCCCGGAGGCACTTCGATGGCAATGTCCCGGAACTCGGCGAACTCGGATGCCTCCAGGTTCGACGCCGCTTCCATCTCCCCGTGAAGCTGTTTTCTGTCGGGGGCCGGCATCAGCGGGCGGCTGAAAATTGCCTGTGTCTTTTAGGATGCAGGCTCGATGCAATCGGATTCATTTAGGGGTTGTGTGGCTTACAGGGCGGAAGACGTGCGGACTCTCGGAGTTTACACGACTTCTGGCTGTGCCGTCATGTGCTGTCGTTGATGTCCACAGGCCCCTGATGAGCTTTCCCTCGAGGCGAGCTCATCGACACAATGCGTTTGCTTGATCAATCGCATGCAAAGAGCGCAAAGGCTCTTGCGCAACACTCATCCCGGTGCTACGTGACATTGGCGAGCTCCTGACAGGATGCTCCCTAGAATCTCCCCTGACAGTAGGAAACCTTCTAGGAACCTGTATAGGCTAAGCCTTGTAGGCGAGCTCTCCAAGCCGAACCCATCGTGGCTTAGCCGGAGCGATACTGAGTCGACCTTCGGCCGTGAACTCCGTTCTCGAAGTTAAGGAACCTGAATCATCATCCCCAGGCTACGTCATTTTCAGGCTCACAGCAGTCGGAAACTTGCGACTCTCATGGCGACAAGCACTAATTCTGCTCGCAATCTGCTCGCAGCACATCCCGTGTCTGAAGCTTCCCGGCCTGTCCACGCAAGTCCATCCCTCTGGAGGACTGCACGGTAGCGCTGTCGAACCTGAACGCCATGCTATGTATGAACACCAAGAACTGCGACAAGGATGCAGTACTGGGCGTCAAGGAGAGGCTACCTCGAAAGGATCGGCGCAAAATGGGGTGGCCGGTGATTGCCAGGGATTTCAAGATGTTGCGTCAGATGCGATCAAATGCCAGGGCCGAAACTTTGTTGCCTTAAACGCTCACAAAAAGCTTGAAACTATCGGGTCCCTCGGAATGGTTGCGGTGTTCCTCTGTGCGTGAGTGTGTGCGGAGGTGGCACCAAATCCACCTTGACAAGACGGAGGTGGTCGCTCTAGGCACACCACGTCGTCTGTTGATCTATAGGGCCTTGATAGTTGGATCCTTGTTCGCATCCTTCTTAAGGGGTCCACTAGGATCATTGAGACCTCCGAGCAACAAGCAAACCTTAGATGCAACTCTGTGAGAAACCTTACAGAGAACTTAACCCAAAGCCAAAGCGCTGTCTCTTCCACGAGGCATCGATGCGCAAACGACTCCGGGGTGACGGCGTCCTTCGCTAATGTATTGGATCAGACCACAGTGCCACAGTGGCTCCTACATAAATGCAGCAATCGTTGTAGAGATCTGCTTGCTGAACCTCGGACTCTCCCCCCCAGAAAACCAGTGTACTTCAGGAACAGACCAAAGGCGTCGAAGTAAGCCTTGTAGTATCTTGTTTGAGGCATATCGCTTGCACCAGGGACTAACCGAGGAGACGACGTTGAGGTTCTTCCGAGTGACCCCCCACAGGGTCATATTCAGCCCCAGCTGCTGCAGGTCCGAGGATCCCAGAAATACAGTACTTCATCACATTAGAACCGCCCCCCCCTCTCCCCAATACGGAGGAAACCCACGGGCCAGAGGATCTTAGAAGCCCCTCCCAAATAAAAAAAAAAAAGTGAAACGGGCTTGCAGATGAAATCTCGTCCTCGTCCTCGGCGGATGTGAACGACGAAGTGATGCTTACGAGGAGATCTGCCTCTGTCTTGATCTCCTGGGAAAAACCCAGAAAGACCTTGAAGGAACCCTCACAGTCCTTCCTGGAAGGTTTATGGGAACACTTGACAAAGTATCCCTATCGCATCCGGTATAAGTATAGTGTTCCTTCTACAACCCTTATAAGACCCAGCTGTGAACACTATTATATTGCGTCGGGATGAGGTGCCCATGCACTGGATTATCGGGTTCTGAAAACTTGAAGCTTTTCTACAAGGGTCATTGAACAGTCACCCACTGCATGGGCAGCTAAGCTCCTAAGATGAGGAAGCCGCCTGGGATCACAATATGACAATGTAAAGTTTATATGTAAAGTAAAGTTGGAGTTTAGGGCTTTCGACTCACACACTCGCAACTGCAGGCATGGCAATAAGAGTTTAGGGCTTTGGGGTTCCGTGATAGTCATCTAACATGACAACCGCTCCTGGCTCTAATGCAATGAGCAGTGTTTCAAAACGAAGGGATTGGGCTCCCCTTGGTGAGACGTAGACAGACATTGAATCCTGAAACATTGGTGCATGGTACCGATGATGCTTCTCAGGGCTGCGAGCTTGACGGCTTGTGACCCCGACCGTGCTGTTGAAAGCCTAAGCCCTCGATCGACAAGACAAGTGAACCCATGCCTTCCGGCTAAACTTTCCGGGATCATGACAGGTCAACCCGAAGTCATCTGCGAGGGTAGTCTCCTTTGCGTGTGTGCGTGTGTACATGTGTCTGCCAAGTCTATCGAAAAGTTATCCAAGCTGACCGTGTGTGTCTATGCAGCATTTCTGTCAGCTCTTGCACGCACGCGATGTGCAGATGTCAATGCGCATATTTTACCTACGAATACACACAATATTTACACATAGCACGGAGAAGAACCAGTATGCAGACTTACACATGTGGAAATCTGTGTGTTGGCATGAGGGTTTACTAGTGTATATGTGCAAATCTGAAACTATAGGTCCTAGGTACGGTTTGCTTGTTTCCACAAGGAACTCACATGGACCCTAAGCTCACAGAGAACAGACAAACTACGTCTGGGAAGAACACCGCTGAGCCCCCAAGAGCGAAAGCCTCGAGGCATGCTGACATGCTGAGGCTCGTCGTTCTCTGTTCCACGACTCATAAAAACTCTTACTTGCTGGACGGTTCGAAGCTGCTCGAAGTGATAATGGCGATGCCAAAGTCAAGAAGCTGGCTCTAACTAGACACCAACCGCAGACTAAGTTGCATCTGCAACCGCCACCACCCAGGAAGCAAAAGGTCGCAGCAATTCGGCAGTCCACGGCATGGGACCTCATAGCTTTTCGCGGCTATGGCACCCCTGGAAGGGGAGGGATGCATCCCCTACGATCATTGTAGGTCGACGGGCCTGTTTCTGAATCACGTCGGAACACAGCGTCTCCAACGGGAGCAGTTCGGGGTTTGTTCCACCAGAACTCATGCAACCTTTTTGGGGAATACTACAAAAGGACTTCTTCTCCGCAGAACCCTATTGTTATCTGTGCGAAGCCATGGAGCCCTCTCCTTGATCGTGCAGAAGCGGGCAAGGCAATGCAGAGTTCGCCAGCCACCGCCACTCCTCCCTGAGGGGAATTGAAGGCTTGGATTCGGATTTAGGGGTAAAGGTTTGTGGGGTTTAGGATTTGGGGTCTAACTGAGGTGACGATGTAGAGGGTTTGCTGCCGCTGCCACGTCCACTAACCTGTTTGCTGATGTTCGACATATATGGCAAATATATGGTTCGAGCTTTAACAAATAGACCACTTACATGCTGTTGCTTCAAGGCTGGCGTCGAAGAGAGGAAGGGCCACGACACACGACACGGGCATACATTAAGGCGCGCTGGCTGCAGCACGTGGGCTTCCTGAACATCTTGTAGCTCGAAGCTGCCCAAATTCAAAACCCACAATGGAACAAGCGGCCCGTCTTTCAAGAGAACCGAACAAGCCTAAAAGCCCGCGCCCCTCCCCTCTCCCCTCGGGCTGCCAGGAGACATGCTGAGGTCTACTTCCTCTGCCTGATTGGCTGATGGAGTCTCACCGGCCTGGCTTTGGCGGCTACGCATACGGCAACCAGTGCTTGCATCTTGCAGACACCCATAGAAAGAAAGTCAGATAGCTGGGTAGGTAGGGTAGGTAGGGAGGCCGGGAGGTAGGTAGGTAGACAGGCAGGCAGGCAGGCAGGCAGGCAGGTAGGTAGCTAAATTGACGGGTTGATTCATTGATTGATTGAATGACTGACTGAAAGACTGTGTGCATCGATTGGTTGGCCGATTGATTTGTTGACTGACTGGTTGATTGAATGGTCATTGATTGATCGACTGATTGGCTGCCTGACTGAAACAGAGAATCAGCTAACCAAATAAAAGCAACAAGAAAGGATAAGATGTAAACGCACTCTCTGTGTCGCTTGTAAACGGTCTCCTCTGCGCCTCGGCGTGGCGGCGCCAGGGCGCCTGTGGCCATCGAAGCCGTGCAGATCGGAAGCGAGCCGTGCCGGACTCGATCCTCGCGCTGGGGGCTTGGGCTTCGGGGGTTTTCGACCGAGCTTATTGGGCTCAGGGCTTGTTTAAAGGGCTTTAAAAGCTTTACATAGAGCTTCTTAGGGTCAAGGCATTCGGGTTCAGTTGGCTTTCTTAGGCTCCGGATTTAGCTTCCAAGGTCTTTTCCCACCCGCCTAGCTGAAAGCTTGCAAGGTTTAGGGCGTAGGATCAGGGAATTGCATGTATAGGTGCGGGTTCAGGGTCCAGGACATGTGATGTGCTTCGGCAAAGCTTGGAGTCCTTGTGACTTGGATATGGGTCTGGGATAGCTTCCGCTCTCACTAACCGAGGCTAGTGTAGGTTTTCGGTTGTGCTCCCGGCTGTCGAAGGCTGCGAAATCTGAAGAGGCTTCTGAATCTGAGTGGGCTCCGAGGAGAAGAAGCCTAGCGTCAGTGGCACTGGTATGTCCGCATCGCCATGAAGGCAGCTTTGAGAGAAGTCATTGTGCCCGTGATCTAACGCAAACCCCCTCCTCAATTCTCCTCACCCCTTCAACATTTAGACTATTATTAGTATGACTAAAATCACCACTGTTGCTACCATTATGACAATTTCCACTATTACTACTAACCAACATTGCAGTCATCACTGTTAAAGCTGTGATTACTATACAACAAACCCTTCCCACCCAAGGTCATCTGCCGCATCTCCGCGCCATCTGCAAGCTCCTCCTGGATGCCATGCAATCGCCAAAGAGCCAAAGCTAACCTCAGGAGGTTTGGGGCATAGGGTTTTGGGGTTTTGGAACTTCAGGGTTTTAGGGCTTAAGTTTAAGGCCTCAGAACGAACCCTGAGGGCTGTAGCACCAACAATTTCATTAAGGCTCCTATACTATCTCGCACTGATTCTCATCTGGAAACGATGCTTTCGATTCTCTGCATGACTCGCCAGTGGCTGCATCACATGCATGTACCGCAACGACAGCTACTGCTTTTTGCAGCAAACGCGGTCGTGCTCATACAAGTCTTACTCTGAAAATACACCCTATACCGACGTCTGTCACTGCACCCTGTCTGATCATCCCGAGCTGCTGTGGCAAACGAAATTCCTCGAATCGGGATTGCACCTGTCAAGAAGTCTGTGTCAGTTCGAAGATTGAAGCTCGATCTGGGTACTGTCGGGGCCGGACCTGTTGACAACTTGTTAGCATAAAGTGCCCCATCCCGTGTGCTGACATGTAGGTTGTCCTGTATCGTCATGTCGCTTTGTGCCAGAGTAAGTGAGTAACTGCAAGGCAATCAGCGCCTGGTCAAAGCTGAAGCAAATCAACGTTAGAGTCTTCACTCGAGAGATGCATAGGACTAAACCCTAAACCCTAAACCTTAGGACCATGGTTTAGGTTTTTTACGGTTTAGGCGAAAATCACAAGCACCAGGCAAGGCGCGCGCCGGAGGAACCACAGCTGCTGGTCGTTCAGCCGTCTGCAGTTCATGCCCGTGGGCCCAAGAAAAGAAACATTTCAAGTTGAAGACAACCGTAAAACCACATAGAGCTGCCATAGCATCCTTCTTAAAGACTATAGAAAGCCTTGAGACACCATGCAAAAAGTCGCTAGACCCTCCACCCTTTGTAGCAAGGCTCCTTGGTCGAATCGTGCGAAGGGCCAAGAGCACCACCAGCATCTGCGAGGGAGCCAAGCTCTCGGAATCCTTCATCGATGTATGTGCATGTGTGTATGTGTATATGCACCATGCACACATACATGCATGCATGCATGCATGCATACATACATACATGCATGCATACATACAGGCATGCATATATATGTATATAGGGGCAAAGTATGTGTGTATGTAGTTATGCAATGGAATGCACTGTATTGTCATGTAATATAATGTTAAGTGATGTTAGTATGTACGTATGTACGTGTTTTATGTATGTATGCATGCATGCATGCATGCATGCATGCATGCATGTATGTATGTATGTTTGTATGTATGTATGTATGTATGTATGTATGTATGTATGTATGTATGTATGTATGTAACTGTATGTGTGGTGTGTGTGTGTGTGTGTGCGTGTGTGCGCGCGCGCGTGTGGTTGTTGGTCTTCAGGGTTTCGGGGCTTTATGGCTCTAGGAGGGTTTCAGGGTGTTCTGGTTTTGAGTATAGGGCTTCAGACTAGTTCGGGCTTTCGGGTGCCGGGTTTGGGATTAGGAGGCTGCCAACACCAGCACAGGACGCCTTGGAGCCTGCTCTGGAAACTTAATTTAAGTACAGCTGGTGCTATGGAAATTATGAATTATTAGGTGTACTCCTCCATGACCACTATCATCAACAAGTATCACGACTACTATTGAAGCGAAGACGCCAAAGGCAACATCACAGTCATGATGCCAGCAGAGTTGCGGTGTATATGTATTTCAGTCTTCGCACTTCGAGGGCACTAAGATCTCCCGACTTCGAGTTGAAAGGGGCAAGATACCTCATCTTATCACAACTTTCCCTGACAGGCTGTCGCACAGGAAGGCCTGGAAACCAATAAGTCAGCAAGGCAGGAAACAACCTAGAAGAGAATCAGGTTGGATGTTTCAAAAGGAGCAGCCTTAACCATAAAACTTAAAGCCCCCAAAGTCGCACGGAGACCCAAACCGTGGACGGCTGAGCCTCATTCTAAAGTCAAGCTCCGTGGCAGCCCTGCCTTCTGCAGCACTTTCAGGCAGCAGCTTAGCCTCGTGTGGAAGCTCTCTGATATCTGACAGTACAGAGAGGACCCAAGTAGAATAGCCACCATTTGCAAAGCGAAGTCGGGCTTGTTGACTAAAGTTAGGGACTTGAGTTTCGACTCGCGCACTCGCACTCAGCAGGCACACATGGTACTCCGCTCAGCTTTCGCTTGAGTTTAAGGAAAAGGGCTGTAGGGTGGAGCCTGAGTCTGCAGAAGTGTCGAAAACACTATGACTGGGAAACTTACAGTCCTTTGAAAGCAGTCTGTCCCACTTTCCGGGGACCCAAAAACTCCAGAGCCCGAAACCCTGAAAGCCTACCTCTTTAACAAGGTCCAGAAGACAATCATAAACAGGAGCACCCTCAAACTGTAGGGTTTTCAGGGTCCAGTTAGGCCATGTAGAGCGAGCCACATCCGAGACTGTAGCTTGCTGCAGGCCACCAGTGCACGGAGCAAGCCGATGACCTCGCGAAAAACCACGACAGAATCACGGTGCAAACGCTAATCGTCTTATGGTTATGTTGACGTAGCCTCGGCGACAGGAACCCCTTAGTTATAGAATCCGTGACAAGTCCCAATATAGCCGTTTCAGAAGCCCGTCCAGCACCCCAATGTCCTCAACAGCCTCAACTCACGAGACCCTTAAACCCTCTAAGCCCCCCGAATCCAGAATATAAGCCCTTTAAGCCTGTGTAAACCCTAAAAGCCCTATACGCAGTATAAACCCTACAAACCCCGCGTGCCCTAGGAGCCCTCTTAATGCTGAAATGCAGGCCTCGGCCCTGTCCAGCTCGAAGTCCTTGCGGCGGCTGAGGCGGCCGGAGCTTCGTTCCATCCACAACCCAAGCGCCTCAGCTGCAGCAAGGTTTCAGGGTTATAGCGGCGTATAGAGCTTATAGGGCTTCATGGGTTTTTTTTTATATGAATTAGGTGTTATTGGATTTCATATAGGGGTTTACGGAAGTGCAATGGGGATCTCTGGGGTTTCTGGTGGTTGAGGCTTCAGGTTGTGGAGGTTGAGGGATCCTGTGGCTTGGGGTGTCGAGTTTGGGGTTGTCTAAATCCGGCATTCTCAGAACTATCTTGAGGCAAATCCACCCGGATGTGGACATGAAGCCGTGCCACACACCAAAGTCGAAGCAGGATGAACTGAGGTCGCCACTCGCTGCTGCACAGGGCTGATCATGGGCCGGATCCGTGCGAGCCTTTGCCCAAAGCGTTGCTGTTGAGACGGGAGCTTGGGCAAGGTTTAGTATTACAACGTAGTCCAAATCTTCACAGCTTTAAGAACGTGCCCAAACCCATCCCCGGCACCTTTCACTAACAAGCAGGCACCCCTCTCCTCCTCCCTCGGCGGAGGCAGCTTCTCTGCTTGGTAGATATTTGGGCTCACTTCGAGAACAGGCCGGGCGGCGCTGATGCAGACGCGGCGAAGGACACGGAACTTTCCCCCAGAAGCTTCAACTTCCTTGGCGCGAAATAGAATGTCTCTTACCTTGCCATACAGGCATTAGAGTGGCTCGCATGGCCTTCCAGTTGCAAGGCTGATTCCGGAAGTGGCGACTCCATTTGTAACAAGTGCTCCTTGCTTCAAAACCCTCGAAGTCATCAGAAAGAAGTGTTCCTGCTGTCCAAAAGTCGGGTCACAAAGGAGCTGCACCAACCTTGATGGCTGCTGAAAACACGCGTCATGGAACCCTAACCCCTCTGCCCTCAGCGCCGTTGCGAGTTCCCCTAAACCCACTCAGAAAGACTCAACCCTCATCCCGAAACCTCTGTCAATCTTTCCCTATGCATGTACGTATGCATGTATGTACGCAAGTATGTCTGTAGGCATGTATGTAGGCATGTATGTATGCATGTATGCATGCATGCATGCATGCATGTATGTATGTAGACACACACTCGCGCACAGCTCGCACACACACACACACACGCAATGAAAGACAAACTCATATCTGTGCATGCATGTATGTATGTATGTATGTATGTATGTATATATATATATATGTATGTGTATATATATATATATATTTGTTAATACATGCAGCCTGGATGTATAACATATTTGTTAGTATTATACCGAAATGGAGAGACTGAGAACGAGAGACAGAAGAGCGAGAGAGCGAGCGAGCGAGCGAGCGAGCGAGCGAGCGAGCGAGCGAGCGAGCGAGGGAGCGAGCGAGCGAGGGAG